CAATAAAATAGATTCGATGAATGCTGAGATACTTCATTCATAATTTTGGAAATTTAATATTAAATATGCTTACAGCTTAATTTCCAAAATCAACTTCTTCGAAATACTATTTCACTAAATGTCGTTGATTGGAGAAAAAAGTACTTGGTGAAACTTTTATCGTTGCCAGAAACGTTTCACAAATCATCGGTATTATGGGATCAAGAAATGGTAAATTAAGCTTTCTATACATACTAAATCAATTTCAATGATTTTTTTTCTTTTAATTCTATAGTTCTGTAAAATTAAAATAAAAAAATTTTATCAAAATTGGATAGGTAGGTACCAAGATATTTTCGATCAAAATTCCTGAAAATTTAAAGAATGTTAGAAGCCGCATCAGATTTTTTTTTTAAAACTTTGATCGAAGATACCTTGGCTCCCACCCAACCAATTTCGATAAAAATTTTTTATTTAATTCTACATTTCTGTATAATTAAAATAAAAAATTTTATCGAAATTGGTTGGGTGGGTGCTAAGGTATCTTCGATCAAAGTTTCTAAAAATGTGTTAGATAGACGCCGTAGTAAAATTTTTTTTAAAATCTCAATCGAAGATATATTGGCATCCCTCCTGACCAATTTTCTATAAAAATATTTTTATTTAATTCTACAGAACTGTAGAATTAAAATAAAAATTTTATTGAAATTGGCTAGATGGATGCCAACATATCTTCAAGCAAAGTTTTTGAATTTTAAAAATATTAGATCGAAGCCGCAGCAAATTTTTTTCAACTTTGATTGAAGATACCTTGGCACCCACCTGACCAATTTTCGATAATAATATTTTCACCTAATTCTACAGGACTGTAAAATTGAAATAAAAAAATTTTTATTGAAATTGGTCGGGTAGGTGCCAATATATCTTCGATCAAAGTCTGAAAATTGTGTTTGATGCCGCAGCAAAAGGTTAAAACTTTGATCGAAAATATCTTGGTACCTATCTGATCAATTTTGATAAAAAATTTTTTTATTTAATTGCTACAGAATTGTAGAATTGAAAAAAAAATTTTTATTAAAATTGGTTATATGGGTGCTAAGATATTTTCGATTAAAGTTTCTGAAAATTTTAGGACATCTTAGAAAAATTTTTACTACGGAAATGATTGGCGTCCAATAAAAATCTGCCAAATATGATCTACAGCACGTGATCTGCCAATTTTTTTTCGCCATGGCTAGGGTACTA